GAAGAGCAGCCTAAAGTCAAACCAAAGGAAGGAAAAAACTGCTCTCAAATATGGGGGAAGAATAAGCACCAGGATTTATTTTTAAGACTCTGAAATCTGTGGGAAGGATTGCATTACATTAAAATATACAGAATTTCACTTTAATGAAATTCAGTTTCTACAGAAACATCAGTGTGAAGAGATTTTCATCTATTTTAAAAACACATTAAAAAAAAAGGGGCGTGTGTAACCTTTTGTTAGATAAATCATACCATCACTAAACCAGCTTTGCAGACTGTTTGGTTCTGCTGAACACAGTGGGAGTTCTGCTATGGACTGAGAGACAACAGCCTGTTCCTCAGCACAAGCTAGAGAAAAGAATGTACATGTGCTGGAGCAGTGGTTGTAAAACATGGTGCTGATTTTAGTGATGGCTTTTTCCATGCACCAAGCATGAGATCATGTACAGGGCTGTATTTACATGGTGATATAATTTTGCAGCAGAAGCTGGAAAAACAAGGAAGGTATATCTTGTCCAAGGTGATATAAGTCAAGCTTTCCACAACTAGGTAGTCATGTCATATATATGTTGGCAGGATGAAAATAAGATGTGGGACAACCCTGCCCCAAACTTCTAGACGAGCTTATGTTTTGGCTGCAAAATCAACTCATAACTCAAAAGGGAACTTTCATCAGGCAAAACAATTTTTGAGTCAAACAGCATATGTACTTAATTGAATGCTTACAAAATCACCTTTTATTTTATACAGATGTTCTGCCAACAAAAGGAAAAACAGAGATGCCTAATGGATTTAACAACATTGCTCTATTTAGGTTGTGATCACATAAGATCATTTGCTCAAATACAATTTTTTTCCAAGTAATGACAATGTGGTTTACAAACTGTTAACACCCATTTATCTTCTGTGGTAGAATCTCACATTTTTTTCCTTAAAAAGAATGCTCTGGTGTGTCACTGAGATATAAAAACTTGAAAAACAAATTTGTTTACCTTATTTACATACAGAATATTAATAAATAAAACAGGATTGTTTGATTAACAAGCTAAATTATATACACACATTTTGGAAAATCTGATCAAGTTTAGTCTATGGCTGTTTTCTAACTATACAGGCACAGATCTCTGTATGAATAACATTTAATTTAAGATCATAATTTTTCTTTCAGTTCATCCACATCCATTTGGGAGCTGACCAAAATAAAACTGGTGCAGCTCTGAATCTCAGCTGCTTTCATCAGAATTGTTTTAGGTTGGGAAACCGGGTGAGTCACTAACTAGAAGCAAGAGCAAATCCAACTATAAACCATGTGTGCCTTTCATCTACAAATAATGTGAACTGACAATATAGCATTAACAGTATTTTCAGTGACGGTAAACTTGGATGTAACAATCAAAATAGTGGCTGAGGATGCTTTAGAGGGACAACATACAGCTGTGACCATTAGAAGAGTGTCCCAGGACACCTCTTTTTCCTTCTTCTTGCATGTCAGCTGTTAATTCATTGAATTCTTACATGAATGCATACAAATGCAGAACATACAAAGCCTGGGAATGGGCACAGGATGGAGCAGTGCCTCAGAGTCCTGCAGTACCTGTGTGCATCTTGCATGGAGAAGCCTTATGGATCTCCTCTGTTTGTCAGCAGTTAACTCCCCTACAGACAGCACTACATGAAACAGTGCATGTTAGCTGGCATTTTCTCAGAGAAGAAGTAGGAACTGAACTTCACTTTGAGAGACCGATAAACATTAGTATAAACAGTTGGGAAAAAAAGAGGAATATTTTCTGTTCATAGCTTTTATTATAAACATATAGATTAAATATTAACATAGCAAAAAACAAACAACAAAAAAAAAGAGACTAGTTAGGCCTTTAGAAGGGTAAGTGTCCTAAAACAGCCCCAGAAATCCGTTTTATATAGCATCCACTGAGTTGGCAAACTCTCTAGAACCACTGCTGTGGTAATTGAAGTCTACAAAACACTGGGATATTCCCTGTCCTCTTTTAAACAGAACAGTCTTCTGCATCAGGAAACAGTTAGTTTGCACTTTTGTTTATTGCCACAATGAATAAAATGTTCAGCCACAATGAAAAAAAAAGATCCATGTATTCAAATAAAGATACTCCAAAAATATCTGTTTACCCCACTTCCTTTTTTCATTTTACCCAGCAGGCCAGGCTCCTCCTGACTCTTTTAACTGGCTGAAAATTATCAGTGTCATTCAAAATCTTCTGGGCCTACTGGGAGCTTTGCAAAGAGTAAAAGCTAGAACCAATGTTTGTTCACCAAGTAACATGCAAAATCTTTTTTCAGTTTTTTATAATGACTGGTCAAAAATGACTGGACAGAATATGTATGAGTCTGAAAGCTTTCTGTTTTCAAAATATTAAATTCCAACAACAACTATCTGAATGGTTGAAGTTTTGAAAGTTTCAGTTATCAACTGATGAAAAGAAACAATTCTAAGTGATTCCATTTTTTCCTGATACTCAAAGACAAAAAACTTGAATTAAAGGTGCTCCGAGCTGTATTGCTTGGAGAGGATGAGCTTTCCTGTTACAGCATTTTCTCTGCTCCCCATGTTCCTTTGCCTTCCAGCAGTGAGTGCTCTCAGTCCCACTCTAGTTCCTTCAAGTAATGAAGAAAGGTAGATTTATTCAGCATCTATACAAACATACACATTTGTACAGTCCAGACAGCCAACACTAGTGGAGTTAATGAAATATGTATGTATTTTTTAATCAGGTAGTTGAAGTAGTGCAAAGAGGTCTGTTCTTTTAGATTTATACATTATCAATTATATACTTGGTATTTTCCCCCCTTAAAAATAACTGTGAATGAACACCTGAAAATATGAGAACTAACAGAAAATATAGTCTTAGGATTTTGTTGGAAAAATACAATTTGAAATAAAAAATATGGTAATTTCTTCTTACTAGAAACAAGTAATAAAAATATACTTCCGCACATAATTTTTTAGCATCCTAGACATGTAACAAATACTTCTGCAGTAGCAGCCCATCCTTTAAACGAAGTCCGAATCCCTTATAGTGCTGCATTTTAATTAATATCAAAAAGCACATAAGTCAGTAAATCTTTGCATACTCCTTTGTACATATTAGCCTGTGTTTTGGCAATGTAAGCAAATGCTAGGCCATGTTGACTATTTAGGAAGTGGTT